GTATAATAAATGTATATGCATATATATTAATGTATCTGTNCTTGAGAAGCATGTATTTATATGTGTACTTGATAAAAGTTGACGGTGTCATTTGTGTTTATTACATCAAATTAATCGTCGAACTTGATATGTATGTTCTATTTGTAATACTGCATTATGCGTAACACCTTATTTTGAAAATTTTCATATAAAAGAAACATTACCGTAAATTCCTATGCACAAAATATAAATTTATTTATAATTTTATTTTTTTATTTCAAAACATAGTAAAATCAAAAACTAAAAAAAATAGTTAATAACTACAAAAATAACAAAAAAATTATAAAACAATAAAGAAGCTACATAACTTTCTGTGTCCAAGCCGTTAGCTCTGGGTAACGTTGAAGGAAAGTTTCATATAGAATGTAATTGCTGTTACTTATTTAGATTCATTTAGGTTGGCAACACTGTTTTTGTATAAATTTTGATAATCTGACATTAGAATCGTACACAGCGCGTCATTGAATCGCGGAATAGGCGCGGGATCGGAGGGCAAGCAGAGCACAGTTGCTCGCCAACAAGCGCCGTACGAATCGTACGGCCCGCTCGATCCCCGCGCCTATTTCGCGATTCAGTGACGCGCTGTGTACTTAGCGATATCAAAAATCCTTAGAACCATTAAAGTTCAAATGTTGAAAATTTTCAACATTGGCCATACCGGTAAGGACCCGTTCTGGCCACTATAGTAACCAGCAACAAACTCGGAAACTACGCGCTACATGTAGGTTCTGTATATGCATACATTTTTTGCTAAAAAAAAAGTCAACATTTTAAAGGAAAAATGCCGGTCCTCTAAAGGTTAATGTAAAACGATCTTTGAGATTACTTTTGTAGATATGGCGCTAAAACCAGCGGCTAAAACCGTCATAAATAACTACAATAGGATGGCCGCTCTTAGTCTTTTCTCTGATACAAGTAATACATATACAGGGTGTCCCAGAATTGGTGTAACATCTCTCGAAGACAGGTAGAAGGAGTAAAACTGAGTCGACAAGTTATTTATTATTTTGCTAGATTTGCAATAGTTACCGAGATCTTAATTAACAAAGATCCGTGAATAAGCATGCATGTCTTACGCGCGTAAGATAGCTCGATGCACGCTTATTCGCGGATCTTTGTTAATTACCCAGCAAACATTTCGGTCACAGAACCATATCCATCTGTGTCCTCAGTAGGATATGGTTTGTTAACCATGTCTGTCAACATGTGAAATGTCAAAATGCGACCAAAATGATGACAGAGTCTGCCACAAGCAAAGCGAGGCCAAATTATCGCCAAAGTGAAGCCAAAATCCGGAATAGGTTTGGTCATTGTCTGTTGGCGCCAAATTGCAAACAGTCCGCACGTATACACGAACAGACCTGCTTGGCGTTTGGTGGCAATCTGTCGTCAATGCGTTTAACAGATCAACCCGACTTTTGTCGTAAACAGATTTCTGATACAATTTTGCGGACTGTTTGGTCACAGTATTGCCAAAAGCAGATCTGCTTGCAATCGACCATCTATTTGTTGTTAATTTCACTGACATATATGGAATCGTTTTGGCTGCAATACTCTCATGTATTTGTCAACAGAGTTGTTGCGTTTTTTCTTTCTGTGTGCTAACAATTTTGGCGGTGTTTCCGTATTGTAGCATTTCTGCAAACAGTTTCTGTTACCAAGGTCTGCGCCGAAATTGTCAAAAACAGAAATTGTTTGCTGGGTAAGATCTCGGTAACTATTGCGAATCTAGCAAAATGGTATAGAACTTGTCGAATCTGTTTTACTCCTTTTACCTGTCTACGAGAAATGTTACACCAATTCTGGGACACCCTGTATATATGTAAAAAATGACGTTTCGAATATTTCACCAGATTCGATTTCGATAAAAATTAATCGCACGTGCGTTTAAAAAACGTCTAATTTATTACATGCGTTACATCACGGCTATGAGCTATCCTCGGCTTCTATTTTTGTCCGAGGTACGTGATGTTACAAAAAAGAATCTCTCCCGATTGGCGCTTGTGACGCGCGATTAAATGATATCGTCGCGCGACGCGATCAATTTGCGCGAGAATCGTAAGTGGCGCCAATGGATATTCGAGCAGAAACGAAGGTCATTTCGGTCAAGCAGGGGCTCGCCGCGCTTGTTGACCAATCAACGACGACCGCATCAGATCAACATCTTTCGGTCAAGAATGCGCCGGCTTGCATGGTAACAGCGGCCAGACCGCACGTGACCGTCGGAGGGAACCAATTGGCGCGGATTAAAAGATTCTCTTCGGCACGTCGACAACATTGAATTACGTCAGACATCATGCTCTAAAACTAAAAATCTCGGTCAAAAATCACGTGAGAGAAAATGTATGACTTTGCGTGACATCGCCGGAGAAAGTAGACCAAACCAATCAGAGCAAAAGAGACGCAAAGAGAATTTAAGAGAAAATCAGTAAAAAAAAGTAGTAATATATTTTTATTCTACACATTAAAATTTCTCAAAAATAAAACGAAAATAAAGCGGACAGATTTAATCTTAAGATAAGGAAAAAGAGATGGTTTTGTAAATATATTCTTTATTACGTAAGTAAATGTACAATATAAGAGATATTTCTGTTCATATAGTATAACGTAATAATCAACTTTTTTGAAAGCATTACATCATATTTCAAATTTGCCAACATGACGCTCATTTATTCAATTTATAATACAGTTCGATTTTCTGTGTACATACTACGTATACACACACACGCATACATACATGCACAAAAAATCTGCAACAGATAAAATACAAATAAGTCAATTATTGTAATTTATATAACATTATAAAGTAATTAGTTAAAAATATGGCGAGTCTAACAGATCTATTTAACATGATAGAGGATTTATAATGTACAAGTTTTCTTTTGTTACGCACACGTATCTTCTTCTTTCAAAGCTGCTGACTACAATTTAGCTGCTATTGTAATCTACATGGACAAGTTTGGTATCACGCATTTTCTTTAATAAACAATATATGTATATTAACTGATACAAATAGCATAGATAAAAAAAATATATCAATATATAGATAGTTCAGATGTACAAAAAAAGCATTTAAAAATTAAATTAAAAAGTATATAATAGTATTTATATGTGTAAACTACAATAAAATTTGTAATACAGGTTTGGACTTATAAAAAATCACGATAATAATCGCACATTCGTATGAAAACGTATGATGATAATAAGTTTTTTTTTTCTATAAACGCAAAACACATATATTTTTAATTTCTTTCGTATACATTTTAATAAAGATATACGTCTAGAAGAGAGAATAATAATGAAAAGAATCAATAATAATTATTTTTAATCATAAATATTATTATAAATAATTTGAGAGAAAAACATCTTTGTCATAAAATAACATAAGATATATTATATTTCATATATTTTATTCAAATTATTCATTTTAAACGATGTGTTATGACTCTCTCTCTCCCAAATGACATATTTTTTTAAATAGTTGTCTAATTACGAGCAGCAAGATGACAGTAAAAAATAAAAAATAGCTGCGTTATCTAGAACTTTATTTATATACAAACACGTATTATAATTTCATATAATGACAAGATACTTGTTACGTTAGTGTTTGTCATAAAGGCACTTGAGTGAAAAAGACTCTCTCACATTTCGCGAGTATTTCAAAATTACCACTATTTGTGTTATTAACATTAAAGATGCGGTCAAAATTTCACTGCAAATGTTTCAAAGCATTCTATCTTCATTCTACATTTAACAAGAAATAGAATGATGCTTCGAAATATCTGCAGTGAGGCTTTGACCGCACCCTAAATATGTTAAATCATTCTAAAGTTTTAACATTTATGTGTGAAAAAAAAAACTAACAACTACTACAACATTCAAGCAGGCAATGCCAATACTTGAGGAATGATTAAGAATTGATGACGCTTTTGTAAGTGCCAAAAAAGATCGTTAGTAAATTAATACTTATAAATAAAATAATACCAGAATGTGTCTGTAATAGTTTACTTTTAAAATAATACTTAAATTTAGAGCAGATTGGAATGTATCCTTTAAACAACAGTGTATAACGTGTGTGTATATGTATGTGATATTATTTGTGTAAGACCTTCTCCTCTTATGTTCAATACCTATTTTTTCAAAAAATATAGCTATACATAAAATTTGTATATTACATACGTATATACTAGGCACGACCGAAAAGAAACTGATTGTACCACAATACTTCTTACAAAACTTTAAAACAAATTAAGTGAATCAAACATAATATAATAAATAAGTAAATTAACCTTTAGATCGCCGGGATTTTAAAATCCAAAATCATGGATAATTTTCTCATATAAAAGTCTTATGGTAATCCATATATCTCTAGTATCTTATAATAATCCATATGTCTAGTATACATTGTTCGATGTGTACGAGTTATCGCATGACGTCATAGTCATATGTTATACCGGCGGGAAATGAGAGCGGAAGATAAAAAAATTTGTTAATTCACAAAACAAAGGTTTTAGGGAATTTGTGATAGTGCTAATTACGTTTTTTTGGTCAAAATTACGAAAATCTACATGTATGTCCATATACATGTATGTATATGTGTGTATATAGGGTGTCCGACAATTGGTGTAACATCTCTCGTAGGAATGCCGTTATATGCTGTTATATTAGCTCTTCCCGTACGTTGCTACGGGTAACACCGTGAGCGCGCGAACCGCGCCAGGCTGTCTTAAGCTGTGTTCCGTTTCACGCATACGCGCGCATTTATCTATACTATACGTGACGTGTATTATAAATAAATGCGCGCGTATGCGTGAAACGGAACGCAGCCTTACGCGCTTAAGACGGCCCGATGCATGCTTATTCGCGGATCTTTGTTAATTAAGATCTCGGTAACTATTGCGAATTTCGCAAAATGATATAGCACTTTTCGACTCAGTTTTACTCCTTCTATCTGCCTACAAGAGATGTTACACCAATTGTCGGACACCCTGTGTGTGTATGTGTGTAAAATATAATATTTTTTTCTAATTTTATCAACTCGCATTAATGTACAGATATACATGCATATGAGCACATGAATGGAATTTTGAAGTAAATTACATATGTTTCTCCCCTTTCCACACTCCTTTTGCTTTTGACAAAGTGTGGTGGCATCTTTAGATGCTCTCATGGAAAAATTAATCAGATGGTTTCCCGTTGCCTACCTGATGCTGGTGACCATCTAGTGGTTCTTTCGTTTTTAGAGACGATTTCTCTTCCCAAAGGCAACAAGATACCCTTGCTCAGTTCTTGAGAGCTCCAATTGGAGGCCCGATTCAGTTCGCTTTTCAATCGACAATCTCGACGTGAAAGAGACTGGCCCGGGAAAATCCGACGATGTTGATTCGATTTCGGGACCTTCCTATTCGTAGGCCCGGCACTTAAGCCGCGAGATTACTGGGCCAGTTAGGTTTACACATGTACACAAACAAAAATATATACACTTTATTTGATGACGCCAAATGGCGTCATCATACCGGCGATCCAAAGGTTAACTAGCACATTTTTGGCTTTGAATTATGCCACATGCATTGTTTCATTACATTATGATTTAAGAAATCTCATAGCGCCTTTATATTTAAAAAGTGGCATACTTGTTTAATGATGTAAATATATAATTTAAAAAGCTCTTACACTTGTGTGTTATATATATTAAATTTGATATAATTTTAATATCTTCTCAAAGTTTAACTTGTAGTAACAAAAACACATCGGATCACAGAAGCAGAATATATTTAAACTACGTTAGCCGAACGTTTGAAATCTAGTTGTTCAAACATTTTAATCGGTCGTGTCTTTTTATCAGAGAAAAACTTAAAAAACTTAAAATTTTTCATGAAAATCCGGAGATCTTGAACTTGATAGATTTATTAAGCTGCCAAAAACTACGAACAGTTCTCTATCGATATCATCAAAGATGCGATCAACATTTGACTTGACTAACGTTCGAACTTAAGAAATTGTTGTAACCTCGTCAGCAGTTTGTGTGTCTAGCGCCTCTCATTAATGGAATCAAAATACTAGGACTTTGAGCCTGCCTAAGGAATGGATGTTGCAATAGTTCAGCTGCCGTGGCTCGTTGCGCCGGGTCGCGCACTAACATACGTTCGAGGAAACCTTGAAGACGCGGGCTAACCTTTAAATAAAGATAAAAAAGTGTTATTCACTTTCTAAATTTGGTTATTTGTTGGAATAATCTGAATCAGAGAGATGCTTGTGTGAGATTCAGTGAAAAGAAAAATTAATCTTACTTTGTGAAAATTTTTTAATTTTGGTGGCGGCATATCTCTGATGCGTCTCATAGCTTGCAGAGGTGGTTCATTGAAAAACGGTGGTTCACCATCAATCATTTCGATGATCATTATTCCTAACGACCAGATATCCACTTCAGGTCCATATGGCAATCTGTAATTCAAAAATGCAAACAACTCTTTTTGTTATATTTGTCTGACAATTGAAACAATAAAATGTTTTAAAGAATAGAAATGTGTTACATCGTTTCATGTATTTTAACCTTTTCATTGCTGTAAGCGCGTATACGCGCTTTGAAATTTCAGAATAATGCTATAAGCGCATATATGCGTATTCGGTATTTATATACATATATATTATCGGTATTCATATAATTTTATATTATTATATTATTGCAATGTAACTCGATATTTTGAAAACTTTCTTATTTTCTACAAAACTTTTATTACTTTGCGCGCTAGCAAAAAGGTCGCCTTCTATCGCGCGCGCTCTGCATTAGACTTCGCCGCAGCGAAAAGGTTAAATTATTAAATATAAGAAACATAACCTTGAAATAACTTCGGGACTCATCCAATACGGAGTTCCTACTAGAGATTTTCGCTTTGGTAATTCTTGAGAGACTTGAGCACAAAAACCAAAATCCGACAATTTTACTCTGCCATCCGCCGTAAGTAATATCGAATCAGACTTAATATCCCTGTGTATAACACCTTGCGAATGTAAGTACGCCAGCGGCTTAAGACACTGAGAACACACTGTAGCTATTTGACTCTCGTCCATTCTCGAGTGTGTGACGATGTCAGTTAAGGCACCTCCTTCTAGATATTCCATAACGACCCATAATTCATCGTCCACCAAGAAACTGTCATACATTTCGACTATATTTGGATGATGGTAGTCTCTCATAATGACAACTTCGTTGAAGAGCAATTCGCGTCTCTGTTGTTTTCTTAAATCCATCTTCTTCACTGCAACTTGACGGTTGGTACTCTTATCTGTAGCTATACACACAGTTCCCGTACTGCCTTCGCCGATCTTCAGAAAATTCTCCAGATTTTCTCTTGGATCACCTTGACTTACCTGAATTTACATGTAAAATATATATATGCAAATATTATAAAACTCAAAATCTCTTAGAAAGCAAAACAATTTGTTTGATTGACATTTTACATACCACCATCTGTAAAGCAGCCCTGAATTGTTCATGCGTGAGTCTTTGCTCAGTTTGCTTATTGGTGCTACTCGAACTTGTACCAACTGCTAAGTTTCCTGACGAGACAGCACTTTTCATATTCTGATTTTGATCTGGAGTCGAGCCAGTTGCTGATATTGCGGACGGTATGGTTGGTTTTGATAAATTATGCATTGACTGAGAAGTTTCTAAGTTTGGTTTCTTTAAATGTGACTGCAGATTAGACGGATTTTCAGACATGTTGTACGTCTGAGGATATTTGGTAATGTTATGTGAACTTAATTGACTCAGCGGTCGTTGCGAGGCTATTGAACCTACTGGCGAAATTTTTGGCTGTAGCTTGTGTAATAACACATTTTGACCCATTTGATGATCCCTCGATGCTTCTATAGTTAAACCCTATATAAATTAAAAATCAATTCAGATGTTACAAATGTTTTTGCATTATGTATGACTGTTACAATTTTATAAATATGTAACTTATGTGTGTGATATATAATTAAGTACCTGTACATTGCCATTAAATTGATGTGATGTCATAGCCATTTGCGAATTAAGTCTATGAAATTCTGTATCAGAAAGTTGTGGAGTATTCGGACTTTGTACTGGAATTTGGGAATTTACTATAGGACTTAAGTTTTGGAAGTTTAAGGATAAATTTGGTACATTGGATCTTGAGTGAGTTAAATTAGGTGATGATTGCATGTTAGGATTAAGATTTTGAAGATTTGGGATCATATTTTGCATACTGGAGTTTAGTCCACTGCCAATACTTGGGGAATTTTGCCTCAGCTTGTCAATGTAATTATGCAGCTTGCTAAAGTTTGTAAAACCTTGATTAACATTTGCGGGTATTTCTTGACCTTCTGGCACAGATGGCGGAAGATTGCTGTTATGCCTATGTAAAAAAAATTTTTTTTTTAAATCTACATTACAATTTCAAATACATGGAACAATATATGTGCAACTTGTATATTTACAAGTAAATAAAATAAGAAAAGCAAAACAAGTTTTAAAACACCTGTAATCTTTTCTGAGACGTGGTGGACTAGAAGAACGTAGAGAATTAGAGCGAGCAACTGTACTGGTTTTAGGCAAGCCATTCTCCACAGTCTTCTCAGTAGCAAGTGGTCTATTTATTCTAGGATCATTGTGTCCTCTTACAATAGTCTTTAAATCAAGAATCTCAGTAGGTGTGATCTCACTTGGATCAACCAAAGGCAGTGGTCTGTTGGTCGATTTAAGTATCTGATTATTTCCAACTATCGAGGCCCACTGCAATGGCAGTCCAACAAATTTTCCCTCACGTTTGTCAAAGCCAGTGTGCACTCTGTGCTCAAAATTGGTTGGTGTGGAGATTTGGGGTTTCTTTTTCTTCTTCGTAAACATTGTTCCTGCTACTAAAAACAACAATAGAATGTTATACACATATCTATTCACTTGGGTAATGTAATATCTATGCCGTGCAATGTAGCACTTTGTCTATTAATAAGAGATAAAAACAAATATTCAGTTGCATATGTTTGAGTTTTTTACAACGGATCGTACTTTGGGAAGTGCATGTTATTCGAATCGAAAGTATGTATCGAAAAAGATTTGAATTTACAGAACTTGGAGTAAAATTGGTATAGGGAAAACAACGCGGGGCGAGGGAAGGAAGCCAAATGACAGCAACAACGCCTACCAAGTGATAATGTAACTTCTGCGACGCGGTTCCACTAAAGCTCGTTCGAACGGTGTTGTCACGCCAGAGAAATTTGTCAAAGAGATTAGATCGCTTGTGGTGTGAACGCGGGCCACGACAATATGAAAACATAGGCGATGTCGCGCATTAAAACACATAAATACGCCATTCATCCGTGACTCGGAGCAGGTCGTACACTTGCACACCGGCGCTCCGCGCGGTAAGCTTCCGAATCTTTTCTGGCATTTAGTTCATGACAATTTGCTGAAACGTGCGTGAGACGTGAGTACGCGAGCGCGCGTAGCACCTGCCTGCGCGCGCGCTTACCGGAAACGGGAGAGGGAGAGGAATGCGAGAGAGAAAGCGATCGCAGAGAAAAAGTGATCCACGTGGAAATCCTTTGATCAAATAACACGCAATATTCCAGTTCAATGAATTCGCACCGGATTTTTCCGTTCGTATAAATCTTACAATCCAAAGAAAAACAACTCTAATTATTCTTCTATCCAAAGAATAACAACCGTAATTATTATTTCCAATACTGAATGAATAAAGCCGCAATAAAATAATAATCTAGACAATCATAAAATTCTTAAAACATTTTAATAAAAACTTTTATTTAAATTTATACACACTCTATGTGTGTAGTGAAATATAGTCTTCAAAGCTTTATATTTTCTGAAGAATAAAAACTTCCAAAGTATTATAAAAAATCTGGACAAGTAGAATTAAATTATAAAAAAATATATAACAAAAAATTAAAGAAAAAGGCAAGCGATATAAAGTACGTTGGGAATGTTTTCTTTCCTTCGATTCAATTCGCTTAAGTTTTATTTAAGTGTACTCTCGACCCAAGATCCTACAAGTATATAGGTCTTAGTTTACACCGATTGCTTAATACGCCTATTAAGTACTATATTTATATTAAATCGCCTTGGTTTCAATATTGTAAACGATGTCATTAAGCTAGTGATGATACGTTTTTTTCACGCGTATTGACGTATCGTATCAAAATGGTACGCGTATCAAGCACATTTATAATGATGTAAATATCAAACTTATACATTGAAAAACAAATTTTATTGATTTGGTTTGATACAAAAATGGCTTAGTGGACCGAATTGAGTTAGTCCATACGCCATTTTAGGAACTTATGATTAACATTAGGCTTGGAGCACTGTTGCTGAGAAGTCTTTCCCGTATAGGGGAAAAGTAAATTGTAAAGGCAAGTAGTCACAACCAGAGAGAAACCTGAGAGCGGCCATGCCATTGTAGTTTCTTACGACGGTTTCAACCGCTGGTTTTAGCCGTAGGTCTGTTTTTTTTACCTGAACTGGCTACATTAGTTCAGAGGTTATCTTTCTTCTTCCAATGTAGAGTGAAAAAGATGAACTCTGAACTAGTGCAGCCAGTTCAGGTAAAAAGAACAGACCTCGTATTTCCACAAAAGTGGAACTCAAAGGCCGTTCTCCATGAAACTCAAGTAACCACTGAACTCTATATACACTGGAATGCGCATCAAGAAAAATTTATGGCACAAATTGAATAGCGCCATGTTTGTTTGGAATGGTATTTTAGCAAGTCAGAAGCGTGTTCTGTGTTTTGCTACAATATGAATGACGGAGATAAAAAAATACCAAAATAAGAAAAGTTTATTCAGGAGTTTGTAGTAATAAAATTACATAAAATTATAAATATTTATTTATAATATTTTAATTATATAAATATGTATAAAAGAGCTTTTGCTCGTTAATACAATATAAAAATAAATTTGCGTATTAATGCAATTTAAAAACCTATTTTTTTAATGGTAAAAAAGCACGAAGTACACGCGCGCTAATTGCAAAATATCATTATATGTTTTGTTGCAAAATAACCTAACGATTTTTATTCTACATTGTTAACACATGCAGAAACTGATATATTTAACACCAAAATCCTTACCTATGAAATGAAATCTCCTTTTTACTTNTCTGCCCACATCCGGGCACGCAACACTTCATGTCGCTAATATTACAGATGTTTTTCACATATACTTATACAACCGTAACACGTTTCTACGCGTGCTAGGAGAATGCTTCTGATTCATTGTAGAGAGACGCGGAACGCACTTTTGATTTGCTAAAATACCAGGCCAAACAAAAATGGCGCTGATCAATTTGTGCCACGTCTCGCTATGCTTGTTAGGCGAAGATGCGCATTCCAGTGTATATAGAGTTCAGTGCAAGTAACAGGTCTCGTGGAACTGATCAATCACGTTGGTCGATTGGCTGATTTGACTCTGCAATTGGTCAATTTCACGAGATCTGATACTTGCGTTTAATGTAGAACGGCCTTTGAGTTCCACTTTTGTGGAAATACGGCTAAAACCAGCGGCTGAAACCGTCGTAAAAAATTACAATAGGATGGCCGCTCTCAGATTTCTCTCTGGTCACAACCAGTGTAGGAAAGTTTAACTGTGGGTGCTTTCCAACTACGTACAGACGGCGTCAAAAATTCGTGGAGTAGGCGCAAGGATCGGAGGGCAAGCGGGGCGGTTGCTCGTAGCGCCAGCGAGCGCCGTACAAACTAAATAGTAGCAATTGGTTGTTCGCAACTACGTCGTGTCGATAATGTAACTACTCTTCTTTTCAATTTTCTTCTCAAAACGTATTAGCCATTTACTAAATATCTAACGTTAACAAATAACATGTATGTGTATATATGTGTGTAATAAATAAAATTATAATGTCTCCGGTATATAGAAAAAACGTACATTGTAAAAGTCTTGTTTAAAAACCAATGAATGAATATAAGGCCTTACGAGCCGTTCTCAAAGTGTTGAGTGAGAACTTATACATGTATATATATATATGTATACACATGTAACGAATTTACTTGTAAATTTTACAAGTGAGTTTTTTGAATTGA